AAACACGGTGGGTTGAACACACGGTAGGTTGAACACACGATAGGTTTAACATACGGTGGGTTGAACACACGGTGGGTTGAACACATGTTGGGTTGAACACACGGTAGGTTTAACACACGGTAGGTTTAACACACGGTGGGTTGAACACACGGTGGGTTGAACACCCGTTGGTTTTAACACACGGTGGGTTTAACACACGGTGGGTTTAACACACGGTGGGTTTAACACACGGTGGGTTGAACACACAGTGGGTTGAACACACGGTAGGTTTAACACACGGTGGGTTGAACACACGGTGGGTTGAACATACGTTGGGTTGAACACACGGTAGGTTTAACACACGGTGGGTTAAACACACGGTGGGTTGAACACACGGTGGGTTGAACACACAGTGGGTTGAACACACGGTAGGTTTAACACACGGTGGGTTGAACACACGGTGGGTTGAACACACGGTGTGTTGAATACACGGTGGGTTGAACACACGGTGGGTTTAACACACGGTGGGTTGAACACACAGTAGGTTGAACACACGGTGGGTTGAACACACGGTAGGTTTAACACACGGTGGGTTTCAGACACGGTGGGTTTAACACATGGTGGGTTGAACACACGGTGGGTTTAACACACGGTGGGTTTAACTCACGGTGGGTTTAACACACGGTGGGTTGAACACACGGTGTGTCGAACACACGGTGGGTTTAACACACGGTGGGTTTAACACACGGTGGGTTGAACACACGGTGGGTTTAACACACGGTGGGTTTAACACACGGTGGGTTGAACACACGGTGGGTTTAACACACGGTGGGTTGAACACACAGTGGGTTGAACACACGGTGGGTTGAACACACGGTGGGTTGAACACACGGTGGGTTGAACACACGGTGGGTTGAACACACGGTGGGTTGAACACACCGTGGGTTGAACACACGGTGGGTTGAACACACGGTGGGTTTAACACACGGTGGGTTGAACACACGGTGGGTTGAACACACGGTGGGTTGAACATACGGTGGGTTGAACACACGGTGGGTTGAACACACGGTAGGTTTAACACACGGTGGGTTTAACACACGGTGGGTTTAACGCACGGTGGGTTTAACACACGGTGGGTTTAACATACGGTGGGTTTAACACACGGTGGGTTTAACACACGGTGGGTTGAACACACAGTGGGTTGAACTCACGGTGGGTTAAACACACGGTGTATTGAACACACGGTGGGTTGAACACACGGTGGGTTGAACACACAGTGGGTTGAACACACAGTGTATTGAACACACAGTGGGTTGAACACACGGTGGGTTTAACACACGGTGGGTTGAACGCAGGGTAGGTTTAACACACGGTGGGTTGAACACACGGTGGGTTGAACACAGGGTAGGTTTAACACACGGTGGGTTTAACACACGGTGGGTTTAACACACGGTGGGTTTGGTTGGGAAGGCGAAACACATCCAGCTTCGTTACTTCCTTCTGCGTGAGTTGCAGCAGCGTGGCCAGGCCCGCGTGGTCCGTGTGGTCTCTGAGGCCAACACTGCAGATATCTTCACCAAGGCGTTGCCGCCTTGTGACCACCAGCGTTTCTGCACCCAACTTGGCCTTGTGCCTGCCCGTCCTCACTTGCATACGTAGAGATGCCTTGTCCTGCATGTCTTGTACTCTTGCATCTATATATATTTGCTATATACCTGCATGTGGACTGGCCTTGTGGTCCCTTGCTTGCTCTCGGAGTGTGTGGTGACTTTGAACTCCACCCTGAGATTTGTCTTGTTCTTGTGGACTGGTCTTGTGACCGTTGCTTGCTCTTGTTTTTTCTACAGGACTACCGTCACCTAGACTATGGGGGTGTGTCAAACTATATTTCTATAGCTTGTGTAGTTCAAGTCTAGGTGTTCTCCCTTGTGTTATTTTGTACTTGCACTAGGGTTAGGTTTTGCATATATCTTGTTTGTACTTTCTGTTTTTAGTCAATTTTACATTGTGACAGACCTGGCTACGCAGCGGTCGTCACAGGGTTACACTTTCAGCCTTGGCTGCGGCTCTGTTTCTTGGCGGTCTACCCGCTCGTCTTTTGTTCTCAGCTCCAGTTGTGAGGCTAAGATCTACGCCACAGCCATGGCTGCACAGGAGTTAATCTGGCTCACCTACCTGCTGACCGACTTGGGAGAGCGGTCTCGTTCTCCTCTACTTCTGTACGTAGACAACAAGGCCGCCATTGCCTTGTGTCAGGAGCACAAACTGGAGCACAGAATAAAGCACATCGCTCTTCGCTACTTCCTGGCTCGAGAGTTGCAGCAGCGTGGTCAGCTTCGTCTTGCTCACGTGGCCACTCGGGCCAACACTGCTGATATATTCACCAAGGCACTTCCGTCTGGTGATCATCAGCGCTTCTGTACTATGTTAGGCCTTGTGCCTGTTTCGTTTCACTTGCTCACTGGGTGACTTTGCTTGTACTGTGATCTATATATATGCCTGCATGCTTGCTCTTGCTAGGTAGTGTTCACTGTACTATTGTTGTTGCATATATACCAGTGCATGTGAACTGGCCTTGTGGCCCTTTGCTTGTGCTCGAGTGTGTGGTGACGTTTTGATCCACCCCGAGCTTGCTTTGCTTTTCTTGACTGGTCTTGTGACCCCTTGTTCTCCCCCACTTTGCCTATGGGGGTGTGTCAAACTATATATGTGTTAATTCTGTGTAGGCTATAGTGGGGTAGCCAGTATGGGGTACAACCCAAAGTTAGGGTTAGTACTTGTACCCACATTTCATTCAATGCAATCATTTCTACTTGCTACTTCACACCCCGGTGGTGCAGCTTGCGCTTAGGAGCTGTCGAGAGCGCATGGATGCAGGTCATCAAGCATGGCACTTCATCCTGTCGGCGTTCCAGGTCAAGGACGACCTGTACATCATGCAGCTGGAGGAGAAGATGACACACATTCGGATGGGCGAGCAGGAGTCGGCGACGGACTACTGCAATCGTGCTCAACAGATCCTGGCTGAGATGCGGATGGCGGGCGCCGGATACTCGATGGCGTCCTACATCACCCACATCGTCAAGGGCCTGCCGCGCAGCTACAACCTCATGAAGAGGATGACGATGGTGTGCGGCACGCGTGAGTCCCTCGAGGAGGACTCCATCACCAGCTACATCCTTCAAGACGAGGCGATGCAGGAGGACGAACAACCCACGGAGCTCCTTCCGCAGGCAAACTACGCTGCACCGACGATGCTGAATCAGCAGCAAGGGCAGGGCAGGAAGCCGGGCGGAGGTTGTAGCAGAGGTTGTCAAACATTATATATGTTGTGCTTGTTTAGGCTACAGTGGGTTAGCCTATAGGGGGTACACAATTCTAGGGTTAGGTACTTGTACTCATTTCACTGTTAGTTCAATCATTCCTGTTCGTTCATTTCAGCATGGTATAGAGCAGGTCCTTCGCTAGGACCGTTTTTTTTAGGGCCCACCACTACCTACCTACCTACCTACCTAACTGCGCCCTAGGGCGCCTCGTTTTTTTTTCACGGCCCCCCAAGGCCCCGCGACCCGCGACCCGCCCCTTAGCGACTCGCGCGCCGCCCCTCAAGGCCCCGTCGGCCCACGCGCTCGCCCCTTACGGCCCCGCGCTCGCCCCTTAGCGACCCTGTCGGCCCCGCGATCGCCCCTAACGGCCCCGTCGGCCCCGCGCTCACCTCCCTAGAGGCCCCCGTCGGCCCCGCGCTCGCCCTTAGCGGCCCCTTACGGCCCCGCGCTCGCCCCTAGAGGCCCCGAACGGCCCCGCGCTCGCCCTTAGCGGCCCCTTACGGCCCCGCGGTTGTCAAATTATAATGTTGTGTAGGCTATAGTGGGGTAGCCCATCTGGGGTACACATTTCTAGGGTTGCATATTTGTATCACTTTCGTCCCTTAGTCAATCATTCTCGTTTCAGTTTTCTCATGGTATCGAGCAGGATCCCTAGTGGGAACTGTGCTTAGGGCCCACCACATCGATTTTTTTTTTCCTGCCCGGAGCGCGCTCAGCCCGAGTCGCGCTCCTCTCTCTCACTGCCTCGCGCCGCCCTAGCGGCCCCGTTGCCCTAGCGGCCCCGTCGCCCTGGCGGCCCCATCGTCCTAGCGGCCCCGTCGCCTAGCCCTACGGCCCCGACGCCTCGCCCTACGGCCCCGGCGCCGCCCTGTCCCGGCCCCGCCGCCCTTCGCTGCGGCCCCGCCGCCCTTCGCTGCGGCCCTGCCGCCCTTCACTACGGCCCCGCCGCCCTTCGCTGCGGCCCCGCCGCCCTTCGCTACGGCCCCGCCGCCCTTCTTTGCGGCCCCGCCGCCCTTCGCTACGGCCCCGCCGCCCTTCGCTACGGCCCCGCCGCCCCTCTCGCTGCGGCCCCGCCGCCTACCTTGCGGCTCCGCCGCCCTTCGCTGCGGCCCCGCCGCCCCTCTCGCTGCGGCCCGCCTACCTTGCGGCTCCGCCGCCCTTCGCTGCGGCCCCGCCGCCCCTCTCGCTGCGGCCCCGCCGCCTACCTTGCGGCTCTGCCGCCCTTCGCTGCGGCCCCGCTGCCCCTCTCGCTACGGCCCCGCCGCCCCTCTCGCTGCGGCTCCGCCGCCTACCTTGCGGCCCCACCGCCATTCGCTGCGGCCCCGCCGCCCTTCGCTGCGGCCCCGCCGCCCTTCGCTGCGGCCCCGCCGCCCTACCGAGCCGCCCGAGCCGCCCGAGCCGCCCAAGCCGCCCGAGCCGTCCGTTCCGCCCGAGCCGCCCGAGCCGCCCGAACCGCCCGAGCCGCCCGAGCCGCCCGGGCCGCCCAAGCCGCCCGAGCCGCCTGAGCCGCAGAGGAGCCGAGCCGCTGGTGCCGCCGAGCCGCAGTTGCTGCTGAGCCGCCCGAGTCGCCTGAGCCACCGTGTTGACGTGCTGCTGTGCTGCCGAGCTGCCCGAACCGCCCTGTCTGGTGAGAGCAGCGCTTCTGTCACTGCATTGCCCCTGTCCTACAGTTAGCACTGCTAGCCTACTGTTGTCATGGCCACCCCCGGTGTTCTCGCTTTTGACGCTGAGGGTCGGGCCATTGACTTTAAGGTCTGGGTAGATGACCTGCAGCTTTTCCTACAGAGCGATAGGGCAAACGATCTCTCCCTCTTTGACCTCACCTCTGGTGCCTCCCCTGCCCCTGCCGATGCCGACGCCACTGTTCGCTCCCAGTGGGCCACTCGCGATGCTGCTGCACGTCTTGCTGTGCGTCGCCACCTGCCTACCACTGAGCGCGCACACTTTAGTCAGTACAAGAGTGCTCAGACCTTGTACGACGCCGTAGTTACGCGCTACTCTTCCCCTGCCATTGCTGCACTGAGCCGCCTCATGCTGCCGTACCTCTTCCCTGACCTTGCTGCCTTTCCCACAGTCGCTGACCTCATTACGCACCTCCGCACTAGTGACACTCGCTACCTCGCTCCGCTTCCTGCTGAGTTCTGCGCCAAGAACCCCCCCCCCCCCCCATGTACATCACTCTCTATTATATAGTCACCCGCCTCCCTGACTCCCTTCGTGTAGTCAGGGACCACTTCCTCTCGGTCTGTCCCACCACTCTCACTGTTGACCTCCTAGAGAAGGCCCTCCTAGCAGCAGAGAAGAGCATAGTCGCTATAGGAGCCTCTCGTGGTGACCCTCGCACCCCCATCTTTGAGGGGTGTTCCCCTTCCCCCCTTTTGCCCTCTGTCGCCTCTACTGCTGCGGTCGACCTTGTTGGTCTTGAGTCGGTCGGTGCGGCGTCTGCCCCTAGCGGGAGACGCCGCTCTGGCAAGGGCAAAGGGGGCAAGGGCGCGGGTGGAGCTAGCGGGGGTGGCGGAGGTGGCGGTGGAGGCGGCGGAGGGAGTGGGGGTGGCGGTGGGAGTGGTGGCGGGGGTGGAGGTGTCGGTGGCAGCAGTGGAGGCGGAGGCGGCGGAGGCGGTAGCGGTGGGAGCGGAGGCGGCGGTGGTGGCGGAGGTGGAGGAGGCGGTGGTGGAGGTGGTGGAGCTGGTCGGGGTGGCGCTTCGCAGTGGAGCGGCTCCGGTGGTGGTCAGCGCCAGCAGCAGCAGCAGCAGCGTTCTCGGGACATCCCCCCCCCTCAGCAACTCCGTGAGTGGTACGCTGCGCCTCAGCATGGTGGGGGTTTTGGTCCGTGCACCTACGTCCTTCGCACCGGCGACCGCGCGGGTGAGCAGTGTGGGGGTGCCCACTCCACCCAGCGCTGCTTTGGCCGCCTGACGGACGCTTGGCGTCACCAGTTCCCGGAGGCCGCTGAGATCCCCCGCTGGGGAGAGCTCTCTAGGGCAAGTGTAGCTATCTTTGATCTTGACTTTGATGCTATTCTTGCTGCCATGTATGCTGTGACTTATAGTGACGAGGGTGACTGTTACCGGTGTTTCCCGCCCGATCCAGGCATTGAGACTGCTGCTCTAGGTGCTGGTGAGGCTGCTGCTCTAGGTGCTAGTGCGGCTGTTGCTCTAGGTGCCAGTGCGTCTGCGTCCTCAGGTACTAGTGAGTCTGCGCTCTCAGGTACCGCGTCGGCTTCGGCCTCCCTCACCTTCACACTTGACTCAGGGGCTTCTCGCTCCTTCTTTCGAGACCGCACCACACTCACACCGCTTGGTCGGCCGGTTGCAGTCTCCCTGGCAGACCCCTCTGGGGGTCCTGTCCTCTCTCACTTCTCCACTGTCCTCTCGTGTCCGGCTGCCCCCTCTGGCACCTTGTCTGGTCTTTACCTCCCCTCATTCTCTACGAACTTGGTGAGTGGTGCTGACCTGCAGGATGCGGGGGTCCACCAGTTTGCTCCTGCAAGTCAGCGGGTGAACCCACTGCTCGGACGCTCGCACAGGCCGGCACCTGGCCACGTTTACGCATTGGCTGGGGTCGAGCCTCTACACCCTGACCACTGAGTCTCCTCCTGTCCCTGCGTCTGGTCAGGTAGCTGCGTCTGGTCAGGTGTTTGCTGCAGCGTCCAGGTCTGGTCCTGAGTCTGCCCCCTGCTCGTGTCGCCTCCTGTCTCACGAGACTCTCCTGTGGCACCACCGTCTTGGTCACCCCTCCCTGCCTCGTCTCCGAGGCATGGCTTCCCGTGTCCTTGTCTCTGGTCTTCCCTGGTCCCTCCCTCCCCTTCCTTCGGGGCCTGGTCCTTCCTGTGTCCCCTGTGTCGAGGGGCGGCTACGGGCTGCTCCTCACTCCTCTCCGTTTACCCCGACAGAGGCCCCGCTGCAGACGCTTCACATGGACGTGTGGGGCCCGGCCCGCGTCCGTGGACAGGGTCACGAGCGCTACTTTCTGCTCGTGGTTGACGACTACTCGTGTTACACCACAGTCTTCCCCTTGCGCAGCAAGAGCGATGTCACTGAGGTGTTGATCGATTGGATCCGCGCAGCTTGTCTCCAGCTCAGGAGGAGCTTCGGCTCGGACTTTCTTGTTCTGCGTCTGCACTCTGACAGAGGCGGAGAGTTCTCCTCTGGCCTTCTGCGAGCCTAGTGCCGTGCGCGAGGCATCCGCCAGACCTTTACGCTTCCGGACTCTCCACAGCAAAATTGGATTGCTGAGCGCCGCATTGGCATGGTCATGGACGTCGCTCGTACGTCCATGATGCATGCGGCTGCCCCCCATTTTCTGTGGCCGTTTGCGGTTCGGTACGCGGCGCATCAGATCAACCTTCAGCCCAGGGTCTCCAAGCCGGAGACCTCCCCAGCTTTGCTGTGGACGGGGAAGGTAGGCGATGCGTCTGCGTTCCGTGTCTGGGGATCTCGGGCGTTTGTCCGCGACTTGTCTGCGGACAAGCTGTCCCCTCGTGCTGCTCCTTGTGTCTTCCTTGGCTTCCCCCGTGACGCGCCAGGGTGGCAGTTCTACCACCCCACCTCTCGTCATGTTCTGTCCTCTCAGGACGTCACGTTTGACGAGTCGGTCCCCTACTACCGCCTCTTCCCCTACCGCACTCCTTCCCTCCCGCCGCCACCGCTCTTCCTTGTGCCAGGTCCCCCCCCGGTAGACCCCCTCCCCCCTCAGTGTCCTGCCCCTTCAGGTGTGTCCCAGGTAGACGCGGTCGAGGTTACTGGTGACTCTGGTGCTGCTGTGGGTGCTGAGCCTGGGGGTGCTGACTCTGGGGGTGCTGCGCGGGTGGGTACTACGCCTGGGGGTGCTGGGCCTTCGGGTGGTACTGCTGGGGGTGCTGAGCTTGGGGGTGCTGCGCCTCGGGGTGCTGAGCCTGGGGGTGCTACGCCTGGGGGTGCTGAGCATAGGGGTGCTACACCTGGGGGTGCTGAGCCTGGGGGTGCCACGTCTGGAGCTGCTGAGCCTGGGGGTGCGGAGCCGGCGGCCGCTGGGCCTGCTTGTGTGGCGTCTGGCGGTGCTGGGCCTGGAGGTTCTCCGGGTGCTTCGTCTCGGCGGGAGCCACTCTCTCCACAGGAGCTGCGTGAGTGGTTTGCTCGGCGCTGGAGGCGTACTGCTGGAGCTTCTCCGGCTGCTGAGGGTGCTGGTGCCGCCGGTCCCGGAGGTGCTCGTGCCGCGAGTACTGGAGCTGCTGGGCCTGCCGGTTTGCCTGGAGCTGGAGCTGCTGTGGGTGTTGGCGCTGAGGCTACTGCTGTCAGTCCTGGAGACGGTTCTGCTGGGGGTGCTGCTGGTGCTGCTGGAGGTGCTGCTGGCTCTGGTCCTGCTGCGGGTGCTGCTGGTCCTGTTGGAGGTCCTGCAGCTGGTGGTGGTGTTGGCGCTGGTGCTGTCCCTGCTATGTCTGGAGTCGCCGCGCGGCCTCAGCCGTACTTCGTTCCGCTCCTTCAGCAGGTTCTTGGTCTTCCTCCTCCCTTAGAGTGTCCACCGCCTGTCCAGTCCCAGTCACAGCTTCCGCCGGCCTCCCCACTGCCTACTCCTTCTCCCTACACTGGTCCTACTGGAGGTCTTGCTGAGCGTCGTGAGCCTGCGTCTCGTCCTGCGTCGCCTGTTCGTGCTGCTCGCACTAGTGGTCGCGGTTCGCGTCAGCGTCCTCCTCCTGTCCCTGGCACGCACCGGATGTCTCTGCGTCCGTCCACTGCTCCTCTGCGTGCCCCTTTGCCTTCTCCTCCTGAGTCCTCTCTTCCTGCACTTGCCGACCCCGAGTCGGACTCTCTTCGTGCTGCCAGTCCTACTGTCACGCGTCTCCTTGCTACTGTCGTCACTGACCCCTCCTTTGAGTCCACTGCTGCGTCTGCTCTTGTTGCTGAGCTCGTCGACTTTGCTGCTCGCTGTCGTCTAGACTACGCTGCTAGTCTTGTTGCTGAGTCTGCGTCTCTCTGTCCTCCGTCTCTCGGGGGTGAGTGTGCTCTTGGCACGGACGTCCTTGAGGACAGGCAGGAGGAGTTCCAGTGTCTGGCTGCTGCTTCACCTCATCTCGTGTCCGTACTGCTTACACCTGAGGGAGACCCGGATGCACTTGACATCCCGACTCCGCGCTCTTACGCGGAGGCTGTAGAGGGTCCCTACTCGTCTTAGTGGCAGGCAGCTATGGATGCAGAGATGGCTTCCTGGAAGTCCACAGGCACCTACGTTGACGCAGTTCCCCCTCCTGGGGCGAACATCGTCAGTGGCATGTGGATCTTCAGGGTGAAGCGGCCGCCAGGTTTTCCACCTGTCTTCAAGGCGCCGTACGTGGCTCGTGGCTTCAGTCAGCGGCAGGGAGTTGACTACTTTCAGACCTTCTCTCCCACCCCGAAGATGACCACTCTTCGGGTGCTGCTACACATAGCCGCTCAGCGTGACTACGAGCTTCACTCCCTTGACTTCAGCACTGCTTTCTTGCAGGGTAGCCTGCACGAGGAGATCTGGCTGCGCCGTCCACCTGGCTTCACTGGGACTTTCCCTCCTGGCACCCAGTGGAGCCTCCGACGGCCAGTCTACGGTCTCCGCCAGGCACCGCGCGAGTGGCACGACACACCGAGGACTACGCTTGCGGCTCTTGGGTTTGCTCCCTCTACTGCTGACCCGTCGCTGTTTCTGCGCACCGACACCTCTCTGCCGCCGTTCTACATCCTCGTGTATGTCGACGACTTGGTCTTTGCCACTGCTCACACTGCTGGACTTGCCCACGTGAAGTCCGAGCTGCAGAAGAGACACACGTGCACAGACCTGGGTGAACTGCGCAGCTACCTTGGCTTGCAGATCACCCGGGACAGAGCACGCCCACACCATTACCCTGACTCAGTCACACATGGTGCAGCAGGTCCTTCAGCGCTTCGGCTTCACGTACTCCTCGCCTCAGGCCACTCCTCTGCCTACTCGCCACTCACTCTCAGCTCTGCCTTCGGATGAGTCCGTAGAGTCGAGTGGCCCGTACCCAGAGCTTGTTGGCTGCCTCATGTACCTGATGACCTGCACACGACCTGACCTTGCATACCCTCTTAGCATTCTTGCACGCTATGTTGCTCCTGGGAGACACAGACCAGAGCACATGGCTGCAGCAAAGAAGGTGTTGCGCTACTTGTGCAGTACGTCGGGCATGGGGCTAGTGCTTGGAGGGCAGAGTCCAGTGGTCCTCACTGGGCACGCAGACGCTTCTTGGGCTGACGACCAGGCTACACAGCGGTCGTCACAGGGTTACACCTTCAGCCTTGGTTCCGGCTCTGTTTCGTGGCGGGCTACTCGCTCGTCTTTTGTTCTCGGCTCCAGTTGTGAGGCTGAGATCTACGCCGGAGCCATGGCTGCTCAGGAGCTTCGCTGACTCACCTACCTGCTGACTGACCTCGGAGAGCCGCCTCGTTCTCCTCCAACGCTGTACGTAGACAACAAGGCCATGCTGGCCTTGTGTCGGGAGCAGCGCCTGGAGCACAGAACGAAGCACATTGCTCTCCGGTACTTTCTTGCTCGTGAGCTGCAGCAGCGTGGTCAGCGCACTTGCGCCTTGTGATCATCAGCGTTTCTGTACTCAGCTTGGTCTTGTACCTGTCTTGCCTCACTTACTCACTTCTTGACCTTGCTTGTACTGTGACATATATATATACTCCTGCTCTTGCTTGTTTAGCATGTTATATATATATATATGTGTTCCTGCATGTGAACTGGCCTTCTGGCCTTGAACTTGTGCTCGGAATGTGTAGTGACTTTGTGATCCACCCTGAGCTTTGCTTTGTTTTGCTTGACTGGTCTTGTGACCCCTTGTTCTCCCCCACTTTGCCTATGGGGGTGTGTCAAATTAGAATGCTGTGTAGGCTATAGTGGGGTAGCCCATATGGGGTACACATTTCTAGGGCTGCATATTTGTATCACTTTCGTTCCTTAGTCAATCATTCTCGTTTCAGTTTTCTCAGCGCTCGCCCCTAGAGGCCACGAACGGCCCCGCGCTCGCCCTTAGCGGCCCCTTACGGCCCCGCGCTCGCCCCTAGAGGCCCCGTTCGGTCCCGTGCTCGCCCCTAGAGGCCCCGAACGGCCCCCCCCAGAACGAGCCGCCCGACCCGAGCAGCCCGAACCGAGCCGCCCAACCCGAACCGAGCCGCCCGAACCGAGCCTCCCAGCCCAAACCGAGCCGCGCCGCTTGAACCTAGCCGCGCCGCCCTTCCCGAGCCACGCCGCCCGTACTGGACCGAGCCGCCCTACCTGAGTCGCACTGCCTACTGTTTTTGGGGTGCCCCTACTGCTATTACTCCTACTACTGCTATGGCTAGCCCTCCTGTGCTAGCTTTCGATGCTGAGGGCCGCCCAGTGAAGTTCGAAACCTGGCTAGATGACCTACACCTCTTCCTACAGCTCACTGCCAAGGAGGACATCTCACTGTACGATCACGCCCTAGGCCATGCTCCTCCTCCTGCTGCTACTGCTGACAGCACTGCCCGCTCACAGTGGCAGACTCGTGACGCCCACGCTCGCTTCGCTATTCGCAACTCCCTGCCGATAGATGAGCGCGAGCACTTTGGCCAGCACAGGACTGCACAGGCACTGTACACTGCTGTCGTTGCCCGCTACTCCTCACCGGCCTCTGCCGCACTAGGCCGTCTCTCTCTTCCCTACCTGTTCCCCGACATAGCCTCTTTCCACACAGTCGCTGACCTCATTACGCACCTCCGCACTAGTGAGGCTCGCTTCCGCGCCGCCATGCCTGATGAGTTCCTTGCCAAGAACCCACCCCCACTCTGGCTCACTCTCTACCACCTAGTCACCCGCCTCCCTGACACTCTGCTCTCAGTCAGGGACCACTTCCTAGCTCGCTGCCCCACTGAGCTCACCATTGCCCTCCTCGAGAAGGAACTCCTTGCAGCTGAGGCTAGCATAGTCGCTGTAGGTGCCTCTCGTGGCGACCCCCGTACCCCGTTCTTTGAGGGGTGCTCTCCTTCCCCCCTTCTTCCCTTTGTCGCCTCTGCTGCTGCTGTCGACCTCCTTGGTGCTGAGAAGGTCGGGACTGCGTCTGCTTCGAGCGGGCGCCGCAGCGGCAAGGGCAAAGGGGGCAAGGGCGGTGGCGGTGACGGCGGGGGAGGCGGTGGTGGGGGCGGTGGCGGCGGTGGGGGTGGTGGCGCGACTGGAGGGGCTAGTGGTAGCGGTGGGGGTGGTGGCGGCAGCGGCGGGGGAGGTGGCAGGGGCGGAGGCGGTGATGGGGTTGGCGGTGGACGCGGCGGCGGCAAGGGTTGGGGTGGTCGAGGAGGTGGCGGCGGCGGTGGTGGTCGTGGAGGCGCTGTCGGTGGCCAGGGCCAGCAGCACACTCCGTCGCCCCAGGAGGTCCGTGAGTGGTACTCTCAGCACGAGGGGGGGGGTGGCTTTAGCTGCACGTACGTCATTCGCACTGGTGACCGCACTGGTCAGTCGTGTGGGGGATCGCACGCCACACAGCGCTGCTTCGCTCGTCTCAACGACGCTTGGCGTGTTCAGTTCCCTCAGGCCACTGAGCTGCCCCGCTGGGTTGATCTCCTGAAGAAGGGGATTGATATCTATGCTCTAGACTTTGATGCTATTCTCACTGCTATGTATGTGATGTCTACTAGTGGAGAGGGTGCTGAGTACCTGTGTGTGCCGCCCGACCCGGGCATTAGGACTAGTGCGTCTGCCGCTCCAGGTACTCGCGTGTCTGCTACCCCAGGTGCTGGTGAGGCAGCTGCTCTAGGTGCTTGTGCGTCTGCCCCCCCTGGTACTGAGTCGACGGCAGCACTGCACACCTTCACACTGGACTCAGGTGCTTCTCGCTGCTTCTTTCGTGACCGCACTTCCCTTGAGCCGCTTGCTCGGCCAGTTGCTGTCTCCCTCGCTGACCCCTCTGGGGGTCCGGTCATTGCGACCTCCTCCACTGTCCTTCCCTGTCCTGCGGTCTCGTCGGGCACACTGTCCGGTCTGCACCTCCCCTCGTTCTCTACGAACTTGGTGGCAGGTAGTGCACTCCAGGACGGGGGTGTTCACCAGTTCACCCCTGCCTACGAGCGCGTGACACACTGCACGTGTGCTCGTATGGGCCGCCACTTGGCTACCTTCACTCGGCAGCCGGGGTCGGACCTGTACACACTGACCACTGAGTCCCCTCAGGTCGCTGCGTATGCATCAGCGTCTGCGTCAGGTCAGCTGTCTGCCCCCTGCTCGTGTCGCTCTCTGGCGCACGAGACTGTCCTCTGGCACCACCGACTTGGCCACCCGTCTGTGCAGCGCCTTCGTGTCATGCACTCCCGGTACCTTGTTTCCGGTCTTCCCAGAGTCCTCCCTCCCCTCCCACCCTCGCCTCCTTCTCCCTGTCTTCCCTGCGTCGAGGGGCGGCAGCGCGCCGCTCCTCACTCCTCCTCGTTTCCCCCGACGACTGCTCCCTTGCAGACGCTCCACATGGACGTGTGGGGCCCAGCTCGCGTCCGTGGTCAGGGTCAGGAGAGGTACTTCCTGATAGTTGTTGATGACTACTCGCGCTACACCTCGGTCTTCCCCTTGCGCACCAAGGGTGAGGTCCCTGATGTCTTGATCCCTTGGATCCGCAGAGCCCGTCTCCAGCTCAGCGAGCGTTTCCACTCGGACTTTCCTGTCCTGCGCTTGCACTCTGACAGAGGTGGTGAGTTCTCCTCCGACCTCTTGGCAGCCTACTGTGCTGAGCACGGCATTGAGCAGTCGTTCACGCTTCCGGCCTCACCACAGCAGAATGGGGTTGCGGAGCGCCGCATTGGCCTGGTCATGGAGGTCGCCCGTACCTCCTTGATCCATGCGGCTGCCCCCCACTTTCTGTGGCCGTTTGCCGTCCGGTACGCTGCGCATCAGCTCAAACTCTGGCCCCGTGTCTCCTTGCCGGAGACCTCGCCCACACTGCTGTGGACGGGGGAGGTTGGCGATGCGTCGCGTTTCCGGGTCTGGGGATCTCGAGCTTTTGTCCGCGATACGTCTGCGGACAAGCTCTCCTCCCGTGCTGTTCCCTGCGTCTTCCTCGGCTTTGTCCCGGACGCGCCTGGTTGGCAGTTTTACCACGCCACCTCGCGCCGAGTCTTGCCCTCTCAGGACGTCACTTTTGACGAGTCCGTCCCCTACTACCGCCTCTTCCCCTACCGCACTGCCCCGCTCCCCCCCCCCCCGCCTCTCTTCCTCGCGCCAGGTGCTGCTGTCGTAGACCCCCTCCTCCCTCAGGGTGCCGCTCCCTCAGGTGTGTCTCAGGTAGACCCGGTTGAGCCTGTTGAGGTAGCTATCGACTCTCGTCCTGCTGTGGGTGCGGAGCCTGGGGGTGCTGAGCCTTGGGGTGCGGAGCCTGGGGGTGCTGAGCCTGGGAGTACTGAGCCTGGGGGTGCTGAGCCGCAGAGTCCGGAGTCTGGGGGTTCTGAGTCTGGAGGTCCTGAGCTTGAGGGTCCTACACGTGGCGGAGCCCTCTCCTCGGAGCAGCTGCGTGAGTGGTACTTCCAGTACTGCAGCCTCAGGAGAGGTACCTTTGGAGCCAGGCGTACTACTGGGACTGGTGCTAGTGCTTCTCCTCCTAGCCGGGAGCTCCGCTCCCGTGAGCGGATCCGTGAGTGGTACGAGCGGCGCTGCACTCTTCGGAGTGGCGCGCATGGTGTCGCGGACCTCGCTGCTGCTGGTGGTGCTGCTGGTGCTGGAGACTCTACTGGTTCTGCTGGTGCTGCGGCCCCAGAGGTTGGAGCTGTTTCTGGTGCTGCGGACCCGGGCGTTGGAGCTACGGCTGGTGCTGCGGACCCGGGCGCTGGTGCTGCTGCTGGTGCTGAGGACCCGGGCGTTGGAGCTGCTGCTGGTACTGAGGACCCCGGGCGTTGGAGCTGCTGCTGGTGCTGAGGACCCTGGAGCTGGTGCTGCTGCGGGTGCTGTGGAGTCGGGCGTTGGAGCTGCTGCTGGTGCGGAGGACCCTGGCGCTGGTGTCTCTACTGGTTCTGGAGTCGCTACACGGCAGCGGCCGTACTTCGTTCCGCTCCTTCAGCAGGTTCTTGGTCTCCCGCCTTCTCTCGGTCCTCCTCCTCCCTTAGAGTGTCCACAGCCTGTCCAGTCACAGTTACAGCTACAACCCGCCTCCCCACTGCCTGCTCCTTCTCCCTACACTGGTCCTACTGGAGGTCTTGCTGAGCGTCGTGAGCCTGCGTCTCGCCCTGCGTCGCCTGACCGTACTGCTCACACTAGTGGTTGCGGTTCGCGTCAGCGTCCTCCTCCTGTCCCTGGCACGCACCGGATGTCTCTGCGTCCGTCCAGTGCTCCTCTGCGTGCCCCTTTGCCTTCTCCTCCTGAGTCCTCTCTTCCTTCTCTTCCCGACCCAAAGTCGGACTCTCTTCGTGCTGCCAGTCCTACTGTCACGCGTCTCCTTGCTACTGTCGTCATTGACCCTTCTTTTGAGTCCACTGCTGCGTCTGCCCTAGTTGCTGAGCTCGTCGACTTTGCTGCTCGCTGTCGTCTAGACTACGCTGCTAGTCTTGTCGTTGAGTCTGAGTCTGTCTGTCCTCCGTCCGTCGGGGGTGAGTGTGCCCTTGGCACGGACGTCCTTGAGGACAGGCAGGAGGAGTTCCACTGCTTGGCCGCTGCTTCACCTCATCTCGTGTCCGTACTGCTTACCCCTGAGGGAGACCCGGATGCACTTGACATCCCGACTCCGCGCTCTTAAGCAGAGGCGATAGAGGGTCCCTACTCTTCTCAGTGGCAGGCAGGTATGGATGCAGAGATGGCTTCCTGGAAGTCCACAGGCACCTACGTTGACGCTGTCCCCCATCCTGGGGCGAACATCGTCAGTGGCATGTGGATTTTCAGGGTGAAGCGGCCGCCGGGTTCTCCGCCTGTCTTCAAGGCGCGTTACGTGGCTCGTGGCTTCAGTCAGCGGCACGGAGTTGACTACATTCAGACCTTCTCTCCCACCCCGAAGATGACCACTCTTTGGGTACTACTGCACGTAGCTGCTCACCGTGACTACGAGCTACACTCTCTTGACTTCAGCACTGCTTTCCTGCAGGGCAGCCTGCACGAGGAGATCTGGCTGCGCCGCCCACTTGGCTTCACTGGGACTTTTCCTCCTGGCACCCAGTGGAGCCTCCGGCGGCCACTCTACGGTCTCCGCCAGGCACCGCGTGAGTGGCACGACACACTGAGGACTACGCTTGCGGCTCTTGGGTTTGCTCCCTCTACTGCTGACCCGTCGTTGTTTCTGCGCACCGACACTTCTCTGCCGCCGTTCTACATCCTCGTGCCGTTCTGCACGTAGCTGCTCACCGTGACTACGAGCTACACTCTCTTGACTTCAGCACTGCTTTCCTGCAGGGCAGCCTGCACGAGGAGATCTGGCTGCGCCGCCCACTTGGCTTCACTGGGACTTTTCCTCCTGGCACCCTGTGGAGCCTCCGGCGGCCACTCTACGGTCTCCGCCAGGCACCGCGTGAGTGGCACGACACACTGCTGACCCGTCGTTGTTTCTGCGCACCGACACTTCTCTGCCGCCGTTCTACATCCTCGTGTACGTCGACGACTTGGTCTTTGCCACAGGTGACACTGCTGGACTCGCCTACGTGAAGTCCGAGCTGCAGAAGAGGACACACGTGCACAGACCTGGGTGAACTGCGCAGCTACCTTGGCTTGCAGATCACCCGGGACAGAGCACGATGCACCATCACCCTGACTCAGTCACACATGGTGCAGCAGGTCCTTCAGCGCTTCGGCTTCACGTACTCCTCGCCTCAGGCCACTCCTCTGTCTACTCGCCACTCGCTCTCAGCTCTGCCTTCGGATGAGTCCGTAAAGTCGAATGGCCCGTACCGAGAGCTTGTTGGCTGCCTCATGTACCTGATGACCTGCACACGACCTGACCTTGCATACCCTCTTAGCATTCTCGCACGCTATGTTGCTCCTGGGAGACACCGACCAGAGCACATGGCTGCAGCGAAGAGGGTGTTGCGCTACTTGTGCAGTACGTCGGGCATGGGGCTAGTGCTTGGAGGGCGGAGTCCAGTGGTCCTCACTGGTCACGCAGACGCTTCTTGGGCTGACGACCAGGCTACGCAGCAGTCGTCACAGGGTTACACCTTCAGCCTTGGTTCCGGCTCTGTTTCGTGGCAGGCTACTCGCTCGTCTTCTGTTCTCGGCTCCAGTTGTGAGGCTGAGATCTAGGCAGGGGCCATGGCTGCTCAGGAGCTTCGCTGGCTCACCTACCTGCTGACCGACCTTGGAGAGCCGCCTCGTTCTCCTCCAGTCCTGTACGTAGACAACAAGGCCATGCTGGCCTTGTGTCGAGAGCAGAGACTGGAGCACAGAACAAAGCACATTGCTCTCCGCTACTTCCTTGCTCGTGAGCTACAGCAGCGTGGTCAGTTGCGGCTTGCGTACGTGGCCTCTGAGGCCAACACTGCTGATGTCTTCACCAAGGCACTTGCGCCTTGTGATCATCAGCGCTTCTGCACCCAGCTGGGTCTTGTACCTGTCTTGCCTCACTTGCTCACCTCTTGACCTTGCTTGTACTGTTACATATATATATACCTGCTCTTGCTTGTCTAGCCTTATATATATATGTACCCCTGCATGTGAACTGGCCTTGTGGCCTTGAACTTGTGCTCGGAATGTGTGGTGACTTTGTGATCCACCCTGAGCTTGCTTTGCTTTGCTTTACTTGACTGGTCTTGTGACCCCTAGTTCTCCCCCACTTCGCCTATGGGGGTGTGTCAAACATTATATATGTTGTGCTTGTTTAGGCTACAGTGGGTTAGCCTATAGGGGGTACACAATTCTTGGGTTAGGTACTTGTACTGATTCACTGTTAGTTCAATCATTCCTGTTCGTTCATTTCAACAGAGGTGGGTAGTCGTCGAAGGACGTCTACGAGAAGAGGTCAACGCGGGGCAAGGGCCGTAGAGGGTGGTGGTCGACGGCGGGAGTGCTGGATATGCGGCGACCCCGACCACCTTTCCTACGAGTGCCCCGACCACAACGACAGCGACGAGGATGACATCAAGGGCGGCCGTGGCCGGTCGACCAGCCGTCGCCCCCGTCGAGATGAGAAGCCGTGCAAGGAGAAGCAGACGTCTAAGAAGACGCCGTCAACGAAGGATATCGACAGCTCCAGCGGCAAGGGCCGAGGCGATGGGGAGGCGTCGTGCTCGATGGTTGGCGTGGTGGAGCCGACAGTCTCGCTGGCACCGAAGGCTGGTGAGGACTTCCAAGCATTGGTGGCAGCTGTGCAGGCCAACCCGATGGCAGTGGTGCTCGACAGCGGGTGCTCCCACCACCTGATGGGGATGAAGGCGGTCTTCGTCGACATGGTGCCGAGCGAAAGGTGTGAAGCACGTGCGTGGATTCAACGGGGCGCTGCAGCCGGTCGAGGGTCGCGGAACTGTCGCTCCACAAGGGGAGGCCGGGAAGCAGGTCCTCATCCCCGACGTGCTCTACATTCTGGGCGTACAGGCGAACCTACTGCCAGCTGGCCAGCTGAAGGAGAGCGGAGTGCAAGCTAAAGGGCGACGGCAACAAGATGCTGCTCATCGCCACGATCGGGGAGGTGCTCGGTCAAGTACGCTACAACGGACGAGTCCTCTGCACCGACCTTCGCCCGTGCTCGACGCGATCGTTGTCGACCAAGGTGGTGGCTCTGCGGACGATCATCTCGACGACCAAGTCGACCCTTGACCGGTTGCATGCGAGGCTTGCGCACGTCGGCGTCGACACAATCAAGAGCTCGGAAAGGCATAAAGTTGTTGTTGGGCTCGACATCACGCCGTCGACCGGAGCTGACCCGCCGTGTGTCTTGTGCGTCGGAGGGAAGCTGGCGCGGCACACCTTCCCCAAAAAGGGCTCGGACACCGAGGACGCACTAGCTGTCGTGCATATTGACTTGTGCGGGCCATTTCGGGTGGCTGCCAAGGATGGCAGCTTGTTCTTCTTGCTGTTGAAGGATCGCCACACTCGCTTCGTGTGGGCTATGCCGGTTGCTAAGAAAAGAGACGTGCTGCGGGAGTTATAGAAGTGGTTGGTGCTGGTGGAACGGCAGACGAAGAAGTCGGTGTTGTCGCTCCGCTCTGACCAGGGAGGGGAGTTCCTAGGAAAGAAGTTCACCGACTTCGTTGACGGGAAGGGCATCGACCACGACCTGACGTGCCCCTACACTCCGCAGCAGAACGGCATGGCTGGGCGGGAGATGCGCACGGTCGTCAAGTCCGTGCGGATGATGCTTCTGCACATCGGCGTGCAGCACCACTGGTGGCACCTTGCTCTTCGACAGGCTGTCTGGGGTGCGCAACTGCTTGGAGCGGTCGACGACGCCGCCAAGGACGACGCCGTACCAACTGCGGACCGGGAAGAAGCCAGACCACTTGGGTGTGTCACCGGAGAGCAAGGGCTGGGAGGTGCTCGACCTGACCGACCACAAGGTGGTCACGTCGGTCAAGGTGGTCTTCTACGAGACGTTGACGCTAGAGGTCTGGAAGGCGAAGTATGGGCCGGCGTTGGGGCGGACGCAGGGACACCCACCGACGGACACCTCGACGGCGACGGTTTCCACTGCTCGCCGAAGTCAACGAGCTTGTTGATGAGGATGTTGTGGAGGTTATTCCACCCCCCCCTATTCTTGCTCCTCCCTCGCCCATTGCAGATCGGCCTCGGTCGACACCTGTGTCGGCCACCGGCGATGAGGGGAACCTTGAGGCGTCGCATGTGGCACCGGCCAGTGGTATCACCGGCGGTCGACAAGGCGCCAAGCATGTTGACCTGGACCGGAAGCTATCGACGACAAGGGAGCACCAGAAAGGGGAGCTGGTCGAACAGGAGGCAACAGCAGGGGTGCAGTGGACAGGGGAAGCAGCAGCCGGGGCGGTCGACAGGGGAGCTGTCGAAGTCAGCTACAGACGATCTGCCGGTCGAAGGGTTGAAGCAGCTGGTCGACGACGACGATGTCCACGAGGAAGGGGAGCAGTCGGCAGGTTCGGAGTCCACCGACAGCGACGTGGTGGAGGTGCGAATCACGAAGCCTGAGCTGCGACGCACAGGTCGAGCTCGACGACCGCCGCGGCGGCTGAGCTTCCATACCTGCTTACCGCCAGCTGCCTTCACCATGGTGTACGACAAGTTTGACGACGACTTGTTGTACGACGACGTCAAGGAGGATGAAGAACTGCCGCTGCTCGACCCCAATGTGTATGCCGACCTCGAACACCGCTGGGACATCACCACAATGACGGTGAAGGAGGCGCTGGCGAGCTGCAAGGGGCGAGGCGGTGAAGGCCACCATGGAAGAAGATATCCGCAGCCTCATCGCCATGGGCATTTGGGAGCTGGTCAAACGCCCATGCGGGGTGAACATCATGAAGAACTGGTGGGTGTTGACGACCAAGTACCACATCGACGACAACGTCGAGCGCGAGAAGGCGAGGCTGGTCGTGAAGGGCTTCACGCAGGTGTAAGGCACCGACTACGACGAGTCGTACTCGCCGGTGAGCAGCTACGTCACACTGAGGATCTTCCTCAGCATCGTCGCCGTCCTCGGACCTCAACCTGATGCAGCTCAACATGAAGAACGCTTTCCTGCAGAGCAAGCTCGACAGGGTGCTCCACATGTACCAGCCGGACTACTTCGACAATGGGACCAGCTGGGTGTGTAGGCTACTGAAGACCCTCTACGGGCTAAAGCAGTCGCCGCTGCTATGGTACAAGGCTTCTCGACAGTGTGCTGCTGGGCGCTGGCTGGAACAAGAGCCAGGTCGACGAGGTACTCTACTTCAAAGCTGGCGACGACGGAGTGACCTGCTGGGTGCTGGTCTACGTCGACGACATGCTCGCTGCCAGCAGCAGCACCACGATGCTAAAGGAGCTGAAGGAGCTACTGGAGGCCGCCTTCAAGCTGCGTGAGATCTCGCAGGTGGTGAAGTACCTTGGGCTGGAGATCATGCGCGACAGGCCGGCAAGGGAAGCTGTGGCTGCACCAGCAGGGCTACGCCGACAAGCTCCGTAGGCGCTTCATTGACAAGGAGTAGGGCCGACGATTCCCGAAGACGTCGGTCTCGGTCGACGCCTATGCTGAGCTGACGTTCGACGACGAGGAGGCGCAGGAGCGCGAGAAGGAGGAGTACCAGCAGAAGGTTGGCTCGCTGCAGTTTGCGACGAGGACAAGGCCGGACATCGCGTTCGCGTGCAACAAGCTGGGGAGCGGCCTCACGGTGAGGAGTGACCAGCATTAGCTCGAGGCCGATCGCTGCCTCTCCTACCTCGGAGACAACCGCGACACCGCCCTGGAGTTCGGCAATGGACCAGAGTCGCTAGAGCTGATCGACGATGTTGACCGCCGATGATGCGGGCGACAAGCAGAATCGGACGGGCACGGGCAGCTACGTGTTCGTCTTCGGAGGGGCGCCGCGGTCTCCTGGTCGAGCCAGCGCATCAACTGCGCGACGCTGTCCTCAACCAAGTCAGAGTATGTCGCGGTCAGGGACGTCGCAAACGAGGGGCGTCGACTATGCTTCCTCCTAGCAGAGTTCAAGCTGCTCAATGCTGTGAAGCCGACTGTCCTCCGCGTGGACAACAAGTCGGCGATCACGGTCGCTGAGGACTTGGGGTTGACGGGCAATGGAGCGACATGGAGAGACACTACGCCTGGCTGCAGCACATGGTGAGGTGCAGGATGCTCGTGCTGAAGTATATCCCGACCACCAAGCAGCCGGCGGACTTCCTAACGAAGGCGTTGCATTTTCTGGCCTTCAACCGGTGCTCTGTCGCCATCGGCCAAGTTCGTCTGGTCGATGTCGGCGACGGTGACGACGAGGTGCAGCAGTAGGGTGCCGTGCCCTTCTGCACGGCTGGTGCACTGACGGCGTGCTATGTGTGGGGTGCACACCGAGGACGAGTTTTCCTCCGTGGAGTACTGTCGTGTGGGCTGGAGGCCCAAGCGTGAGCGCGGCAGGGGAGTTTTAAACGGGAGTGGAGTGTTGGCCCCACCCTTGTTTGGGCAGCGCCGATGACTTGGTCGCATGTACGAGAGTTGCTCGACAGGCTTCGTCGAGCTGCAGGGGGGGCGCTTTGGTGTTGCTATCGACCAGGGAGCTTAACAGCTGCAACTGATTGGTCTGGGAGATGGGTGGGGCCGTCGACCAGGAGGGGCAGTTTGACCAGGAGGTTGATGGAGCAGTCCGTCGACCATGCAGTTTAACTGGAGGGACCCCTCGTGGTCGACCAAAGGGACCCGGTGGTCGACCAGAGGCACCTGGTGGGTCGAGCGAAGGCACTGGTGGTTCGACCAGAGCACCTGGTGGTGTTCAGGTCGAATGGGTAACATTTTTGACGAGTTCTGCGGAGGCATGCGAACGTCGTCGAGGGCCGCGATGGCAAAGGCGACTTCAAGGGTCATACTCCCGAAGTCAATGTGGCTCGTCAGGCGCAGACAACAGCCGACGGAATGCACAGCAATGCAAGTCGGGCCAATCGTTTGCGCACACGTGCGAGCATGCACACTGCTGTCTTCTACGGGGCAACGCTGGACAGCCGCTCTGCAACAGCGTTGGCACGCCGTCAACCTGCTGTGTTGGCAGGTCGCCTTTCTGCAGTACTGGCGCGGCTCCTCTACGCAACGCTGGAAGGCGGTCGACCAAGCTGCGCTAGCGGTTAACCAAGCTAGCTGCAGACTTGCTAGGTGCCTGATGTAGTCATTGTTGTTATTGCTTCTTCTGTCATTCTGGAATTTCGACTTCGTTAATGGAAACTCTTGCCGATTTCTCCCGTAATTGTGCAAGCACTAAGGAACTAGGCAAAGCTACGATCACTCCTAGTAGTGTGTTCGCAGGTGCTCGCAGATGATTGGCATGCTGTGCCTCTTCACCCACACTGTGCAGAGCACCAGGTCGTCCACGTGCTATCAACTGCACATGATCAACCACGTCGACCTCGGGATACCACCTCCGAGGTCGGCTTCGCCAGAACCACCTGGGCGACGATCGCGCACCCCAGCGTCGACTTGAGAAAACTGAAACGAGAATGAATGAACTATGAATGAAGTGGGTACAAGTACTAACCCTAATTGGGTTGTACCCCCTATGGGATACCCCACTACAGCCTACACAAAAGCATAAGCTATAATGTTCTGACCACACCCCCATAGGCAAAGTGGGGGAGAACAGGGGGGTCACAAGACCAGTCAAGCAAAGCAAAAACAAAGCAAAGCTCAGGGTGAATCACAAAGTCACCACACATTCCGAGCACAAGTAAAAGGCCACAAGGCCAGTTCACATGCAGGAGTACATATATATATAAGGCTAGACAAGCAAGAGCAGGTATATTTATATGTAACAGTACAAGCAAGGTCAAGAACGTGAGCAAGTGAGGCAAGACAGGGACAAGACCCAACTGAGTGCAGAAGCGCTGATGATCACAAGGCGGAAGTGCCTTGGTGAAAACATCAGCAGTGTTGGCCTCAGAGGCCACGTACGCAAGCCGCAACTGTCCACGCTGCTGTAGCTCACGAGCAAGAAAGTAGCGGAGAGCAATGTGCTTTGTTCTGTGCTCCAGTCGCTCCTCTCGACACAAGGCCAGCATGGCCTTGTTGTCTACGTACAGCACTGGAGGAGAACGAGGCGGCTCTCCGAGGTCAGTCAGCAGGTAGGTGAGCCAGCAAAGCTCCTGTGCAGCCATGGCCCCTGCGTAGATCTCAGCCTCACAACTGGAGCCGAGAACAGAAGACGAGCGAGTAGGCCGCCACCAGACAGAACCGGAACCAAGGCTGAAGGTGTAACCCTGTGACGACCGCTGCGTAGCCTGGTCGTCAGCCCAAGAAGCGTCTGCGTGCCCAGTAAGGACCACTGGACTGCGCCCTCCAAGCACTAGCCCCATGCCCGACGTACTGCACAAGTAGCGCAACACCCTCTTCGCTTGCAGCCATGTGCTCTGTTCGGTGTATCCCAGGAGCAATCATAGCGTGCGAGAATTAGCTAAGAGGGTATGCCAGGTCAGGTCGTGTGCAGGTCATCAGGTACATGAGGCAGCCATCAAGCTCTGGGTACGGGCCAGTCGACTCTACGGACTCATCCGAAGGCAGAGCTGAGAGCGAGTGGCGAGTAGGCAGAGGAGTGGCCTGAGGCGAGGAGTACGTGAAGCCGAAGCGCTGAAGGACCTGCTGCACCATGTGTGACTGAGTCAGGGTAATGGTGCGGCGTGCTCTGTCCCGGGTGATCTGCAAGCCAAGGTAGCTGCGCAATTCACCCAGGTCTGTACACGTGTGTCTCTTCTGCAGCTCGGACTTCACGTAGGCGAGTTCTGTGGCAAAGACCAAGTCGTCGACGTACACGAGGATGTAGAACGGCGGCAGAGAGGTGTCGATGCGTAGAAACAGAGACGGGTCGGCAGTAGAAGGAGCAAACCCAAGAGCCGCAAGTGTAGTCCTCGGTGTGTCGTGCGACTCACGTGGCGCCTGGCAGAGACCGTAAACTGGACGCCGGAGGCTCCAGTAGGTACCAGGAGGGAACGACCCAGTGAAGCCAGGTGGGCGGCGCAGCCAGATCTCCTCGTGCAGGCTGCCCTGCAAGAAAGCTGTGCTGAAGTCGAGAGAGTGCAGCTCGTAGTCACGGTGAGCAGCAACGTGCAGCAGTACCCGAAGAGTGGTCATCTTCATCAGGGTGGGAGAGAAGGTCTGAAAGTAGTCAACTCCCTGCCGCTGTCTGAAGCCACGAGCCACGTAACGTGCCTTGAAGACACGCGGAGACCCGGCGGTCGCTTCACTCTGAAGATCCACATGCCACTGACGATGTTCGCCCCAGGCGGGGGAACGGCGTCAACGTAGGTGCCTGTGGACTTCCAGGAAGCCATCTCTGCGTCCATAGCTGTCTGCCACTGAGAGGAGTAGGGACCCTCTATCGCCTCCGCGTAAGAGCGCGGAGTTGGGATGTCAAGTGCATCCGGGTCTCCCTCAGGGTAAGCAGTACGGACACGAGATGAGGTGAAGCAGCGGCCAAGCAGTGGAACTCCTCCTGCCTGTCCTCAAGGACGTCCGTGCCAAGGGCACACTCACCCCCGACGGACGGAGGACAGACAGACTCAGACTCAGCAACAAGACTGGCAGCGTAGTCTAGACGACAGCGAGCAGCAAAGTCGACAAGCTCAGCAACTAGGGCAGACGCAACAGTGGACTCAAACGAAGGGTCAGTGACAACAGTAGCAAGGAGACGCGTGACAGTAGGACTGGCAGCACGAAGAGAGTCCGACTCCGGGTCGGCAAGAGCAGGAAGAGAAGACTCGGGAGGAGAAGGCAAAGGGGCATGCAGAGGAGCAGTGGACGGACGCAGAGACATCCGGTGCGTGCCAGGGACAGGAGGAGGACGCTGACGCGAACCGCGACCACTAGTGCGAGCAGCACGGACAGGCGACGCAGGGCGAGACGCAGGCTCACGACGCTCAGCAAGACCTCCAGTAGGACCAGTGTAGGGAGACGGAGCAGGCAGTGGGAGGTCGGCTGTAACTGTAACTGTGACGGGACAGGCTGTGGACACTCTAAGGGAGGAGGAGGACGCGGGAGACCAAGAACCTGCTGAAGGAGCGGAACGAAGTACGGCCGAGGCCGTGCGGCGACTCCAGACACAGCAGGGACAACACCAGTACCCCCAGCGGCAGCACCAACACCAGCAGCACCTCCAGCTCCAGTACCTCCAGCAGTACCAGTAGCACCCTCTGCAAGACCGCCTCCAGGACCGACAGCAGTAGCCTCCGCGCCAGCACCCGAAGCAGCTCCCGCTCCAGAAGTATCCGCAGGCCCAGCAGCTCCAGTACTCCGAGTACGAGCACCGCCGGGACCCGCGGCACCAGCACCCACAGGAGCAGCAGAACCTCTTGTACCCGCAGCACCTCCAGCTCCAGCAGCTCGCCTCCAGCGCCGGGCAAACCACTCACGCAACTCCTGTGAGAGAGTGGCTCCCGGCGAGACGAAGCTCCCGGAGAACCGCCAGGCTCAGCACTGCCAGACGCCCCACGAGCAGGCCCAGCTCCCTCAGGCTCAGCACCTCCAGGCGTAGCACCTCCAGGCTCAGTACCCCCAGGCTCAGCACCCCCACGCGTAGCACCCCTAGGCTCAGCACCCCCAGACTCAGCACCCCCAGGCTCAGCACCCCTAGTCGTAGTACCCACACGCTCAGCACCCCCAGAGTCAGCACCCCCAAAGTCAGCACCCCCAGGCTCAGCACCCTCAGCAGCACCAGAGTCACCAGCGACCTCGACAGGCTCGACAGCGTCTACCTGGGACACACCTGAAGGGGCAGGACCCTGAGGGGGGAGGGGGTCTACCGAGGGGGGACCTGACACAAGGAAGAGCGGTGGCGGGGGGAGGGACGGAGTGCGGTAGGGGAAGAGACGGTAGTAGGGGACCGACTCGTCGAACGTGACGTCCTGGCTGGACAGAACACGGCGAGAGGTGGGGTGGTAGAACTGCCACCCTGGCGCGTCAGGGGGGAAACCCAGGAAGATGCAAGGAGCAGCACGAGGGGACAGCTTGTCCGCAGACAAGTCGCTAACAAACGCCCGAGATCCCCAGACACGAACGCAGACGCATCGCCAACCTTCCCCGTCCACAGCAAGGCTGGGGAGGTCTCCGGCATGGAGACCCTGGCTGAAGGTTGATCTGATGCGCCGCGTACCGGACCGCAAACGGCCACAGAAAATGGGGGGCAGCCGCATGCATCATGGACGTACGGCGACGTCCATGACCATGCCAATGCGGCGCTCAGCAATCCCATTTTGCTGTGGAGAGTCCGGAAGCGTGAAGGTCTGGCGGATGCCTCGTGCACGACAGTAGGCTCGCAGAAGGCCAGAGGAGAACTCTCCGCCTCAGTCAGAGTGCAGACGCAAAACAGGAAAGTCCGAGCCGAAGCTCCGCCTGAGCTGGAGACGACCTGCGCGGATCCAGTCGATCAACACCTCAGTGACATCACCCTTGCTGCGCAAGGGGAAGACTGTGGTGTAACGCGAGTAGTCGTCAACCACCAGCAGGAAGTAGCGCTCGTGGCCCTGTCCACGGACGCGGGCCAGGCCCCACACGTCCATGTGAAGCGTCTGCAGCGGGGCCTCTGTCGGAGGAAACTGGGAGGAGTGAGGGGCAGCCCGCTGCCGCCCCTCGACAGAGGGGACGCAGGTAGGGCCAGGCCCCGGAGGAAGGGGAGGGAGGGACCGGGGAAGACCGGAGACAAGGACACGGGAGGCCATGCTTCGGAGACGAAGCAGGGAGGGGTGACCAAGGCGGTGTGTGCCAGAGGAGAGTCTCGTGAGATAGGAGGCGACACGAGCAGGGGGCAGACTCAGGACCAGACCTGGACGCTGCAGCAAACACCTGACCGGATGCAGCTACCTGACCAGACGCAGGGACTGGAGGAGACGCAGTGGTAAGTGTGTACAGGCTCGACCCCGGCCGACGAGTAAACGTGGCCAGGTGTTGGCCTGTCCGAGCGTCCGAGCAGTGGGTCACCCGCTGACTCGCAGGAGTGAACTGGTGAACCCCCGCATCCTGCAGGTCAGCACCACTCACCAAGTTCGTAGAGAACGAGGGGAGGTAAAGACCAGACAGGGTGCCAGAGGGGGCCGCTGGACACGGGAGGACAGTGGAGAAGTGAGCAAGGACAGGGCCCCCAGAGGGGTCTGCCAGAGAGACTGCAAGTGGCCGACCAAGCGGCGTGAGTGTGGTGCGGTTCTCGAAAAGGAGCGGGAAGCCCCCGAGTCAAGGGTGAAGGTGTGAGAGGCCGGAGCCGACGCAGTACCTGAGAGAGCAGACTCACCCGCACCTGAGGAAGCAGACTCACTAGCACCTAGAGCAGCAGCCGCACCTGTACCTGGAGCAGGAGATATACTAGCACCCAGAGCAGCAGCCTCACCAGCAGCTAGAGCAGCAGGCTCGATACCCGGGTCAGGCGGTACGCACAGGTGACCGGCACGGTCAGCACTAGTAGGCAATGCATACATGGCAGTGAGAATAGCATCATAGTCAAGAGCAAATATATCTACCCTCTGCATAAGCAACTCCACCCAGTCGGGGAGCTCAGCCTCGTCGCCAAACTCGGTACGCCAGGCGTCGCTCAGACGGGCGAAGCAGCGGGACTGCGTGTGACTAGGCGCGTCCCACAAGGCTGACCAGTCCGAGCAAGAGCAGCGAACAGAACTGAGAGACCCTCCACTCTGAGCGTACCACTCACGAAGCTGCTGGGGCGTGAGAGACGCGCGTGGGGGTCGCTGGAGCTGCATCTGGCCGCCGCCAGTAGTAGTAGCAGCAGTAGTGGTAGCAGTAGCAGCGCCGCCACCCCTACAACCCTAACCAGCGTACCACTCACGCAGCTGCTGGGGCGTGAGGGACTCACGCGGACGACGCTGGGCTGCATCTGGCTCCGCCGGTAGAAGCAGGAGCAGGAGTTGCAGCAGTAAGGCAGGCAGCCAAGCAAGCGGCAGGCAGCGCGCTAGTAAGGCAAGGGCTCACCAGTGGTGGGAAGAGCAGGCTCGACGACTCGGCGACTGGGCGACTTGGCGGTGCGGGCGCCTCGGGCGGCTCGGCGGCACGGCGGCACTGCAACAACTGCGGCTCGGCGGCTCGGGCGACTCGGGCGACTCAGCGGTACGGCGGCTCGGCAGCAACTGCAGCGCGGCGGCTCGGCGACTCGGCGGCTCGGGCGGCTGAGGTGGCGCTGCGGCTCGGGCGGCTCGGGCGGCTCGGGTGGCTCGGGTGGCTCGGCACTAGCTCGGCGGCGCCGGCGGTTCGGTGGTGACGGCGGGGCCGCTTGGGGACGGCGGCGGGGCCGGGTGGAGCAGTGACGGGGCCAGCAGAGGTGGCGCCAGGGCCGCAGGGTAGGCGTCCGGGCCAGCAAAGGCGGCGCCGGGGCCAGCAGAGGTGGCGCCGGGGCCGGGAAGGGCAGCGCCGGGGCTGCAGGGGTAGGCGACGGGGCTAGTAGAGGCGGGGCCGGGTCGGGAAGAGCGGCGTTGGGGTCGCCGGGGTAGGCGACGGGGCCAGCCGAGGTGGCGCCGGGGCCTGGAAGGGCGGAGCCGGGGCCGCAGGGGCAGGCGACGGGGCCAGCAGAGGCGGGGCCGGGTCGGGAAAGGCGGCGTCGGGGTCGCCGGGTAGGCGACGGGGCCAGCCGAGGTGGCGCTGGGGCCGGGAAGGGCGGAGCTGGGGCCGGGAAGGGCGGCGCTGAGGCCGCAGAGGTAGGTGATGAGGCCACTAGGGCGGCAGATCGGGGCCGCGAGGGCGGCACGACGCGGCCGCTAGGGCGGCGCGACGGGGTAGCGGGGCCGCGCGCCTCGGGGCGCGCGCCAGAAAGAAAATCGCCCGCGCCGGTCGCACGCCACGGGGCGTGCGACAGATCGAGTAGCAGCGGAAGTAGTAGTAGGGCCCTAGGAACAGTTCCCACGAGGGAACCTGCTCTGATACCATGAGAAAACTGAAACGAGAATGAATGAACTATGAATGAAGTGGGTACAAGTACTAACCCTAATTGGGTTGTACCCCCTATGGGATACCCCACTACAGCCTACACAAAAGCATAAGCTATAATGTTCTTACACGACTTTCTCGGGAAAAATCGACTAGAAGTTGTACGCGCTCGTTGACCACCCAAGTCGACGACCACCCGCTGACTTCACCAGGTCGGTCACTCCTCAAATCGGCGCCACTAGGTCGGCGCCTCCGAAGGTCGACTTCGCCAGGTCGACCACTCGAACTCGGTGCCCTTCAACTCGGCGCCACTCCCGGGTCGACGTCGGCACCCTTCCGTTCGTCGACCATTGGGTTGAAGTCGCAGTGGCCCTGTGAAGGTCGACTGAGCATGTCAACCTGCCCACCTAAGTCGGCGTCGCCCACTGCAGCAGATCGGCTGCACCTCCCGCGCGCCCGACTTCGTAGTCGGCTCCGCCCAAGCGAGGACGGGGCCAACAGACAACTCCCGTTGACAGATGGGCGTACGTGCCGCCGTCCACGCAAGTCCCAAAATTCTCCGACGGTGGAAACCAAATACCGACGTGACGGTCATGGAGGCATCGCACACGAGTTTTATACAAAACATATCAAATAACACTGATTTGGCATCAAATGTACGCTCTTGATTTGTAGGTCACTGTAACGTTTTTATATGTCTGAACTGATCCAATGTAGATTGACATTGATGCTGCTAAAGTTTTCAAGAATATCGATGGCGGAGAGACTGAAAAAAGACAATTCATGACTTGTTGCTCGATCTCAGAACATTTAACGATGAAGGCTATTGGTCTTGAAGATTTGCAGGTCAACAAAAGTCTATGCAAGATGGCATACTGCGTTTAATGAAATTGGATTGAAGTGTATGGTCCCATCTGTTACGAATGAAGTAACCAGAAACCAAAAGTGGAATCTGTGTTCGTGGCAGATAGAGGCGTGAAAAGTATTGGCCATGAGGTAGGGACCGAGCCTACGTGGAGAGATCGCTACAACAAGTGCTTGCTTATCTGGTTTGAACGAATCAAGATTGCATGTGGTAAAGTGAATCGGATGCCAGGTCATTTTTTCTAGGCGATTTCCACCTCAAGTCTCGGGCTTGGCTGACCCAGGTGTGATGAATGACGCATCAGGTTGTGAGGCTCCTGAGGCAGTGGTGGAAAGTGGACAATCGAGCTGACTGGGATGGGAGCACAAATTCTTGGTGCAACTGAGTCCCGCGTGCGGCAGTTATAACTGCTCCAGCCCCATAATCGGCAACTGCATCGTTGGTTAGCTCCTGTCATCCATCTCTGGATTTTCTAACCATGGCTGCATCAGCTGTGTCTGCCAAGTTCGTCACCCCTGCCCAGGTAGCTTTCTGCCGTATTCAGACCCCTCCCATTGCGAGCTTTGGTCAAACTCTAAATATTCCTTCTCTTTCGTGCGTAGGCTGTGTCCAAGGGCTTTGGCGACTTTGATGGCTTGAAGAGCACCAATGTGGCCTCTTTTGGAAAGAAGTCCGAGGACTTCGTTGCTCGTGTCGGCGCTCAGACTGCTGCGGTGAGGATGGTTGACTATCTTGTGTGTTTCCCTCCCTGATTTCTACTTGCTGAAGCGTTGTCAGTTGCTGTGCAGGCTCCCGCTTCTGCCACCCGCGCAGTTGCTGAGGCCAAGATCAAGGTGGCCATCAATGGGTTTGGACGCATTGGCCGCAACTTCGTCCGCTGCTGGCACGGCAGGGAAGACTCTCCTCTCGAGATTGTTGCCATCAACGACTCTGGCGGAGTGAAGCAGGCCTCCCACTTGCTGAAGTACGACTCCATGCTCGGTACCTTCGCGGCTGATGTGAAGGTTGTCAACGACAAGGCGATTTCTGTCGATGGAAAGGAGATCAAGATTGTGTCCGACCGCAACCCTCTGAACCTTCCTTGGGGTAAGCTAGACATCCCGTTCTGGCCAGGTCACAATGGTGCTGGCAAGCTTGTTATCTAAAAATTATTTTATGGTTTCGCAGGGAGCTGGGCGTTGACCTCGTCATCGAGGGTACCGGTGTTTTCATCGATAACGAGGGTGCTGGCAAGCACATCAAGGCAGGTGCCAAGAAGGTGCTCATCACTGCTCCTGGCAAGGGTGCCATCCCGACGTACGTGATTGGTGTCAACGCTGACCAGTACACGAACGCCGACACCATCATTTCTAACGCGTCCTGCACCACCAACTGCCTTGCTCCCTTCGTCAAAGTCCTCGACGAGAAGTTCGGTGAGTAAATGAACTTCTGTGGCTAGAAAGCCTAATGTTCTGCCAGGTAGTGACATTTTAAACATCTGGTGTGCAGGAATTGTGAAGGGTACCATGACGACCACCCACTCGTACACTGGTGACCAACGTCTTCTGGATGCTTCTCACCGTGACCTTCGTCGTGCTCGTGCGGCGGCGCTTAACATTGTGCCAACCTCTACTGGTGCTGCGAAGGCTGTCGCCCTCGTACTTCCCAACGTAAGCGTTTTTCATTACATTCGGTTTCTCCCACTTGTTTGCACATTCTGCCAGTACTCAATATAACCCTTGTTTTCTCTTGCAGCTGAAGGGGAAGTTGAACGGTATCGCTCTCCGCGTGCCCACTCCCAACGTTTCCATTGTTGACCTTGTCATCCAAACCGAGAAGAAGACTTTCGCCGAGGAGGTCAACGCAGCCTTCCGTGAGGCCGCCAATGGCCCACTCAAGGTAACTTGCATAACAATATGCTGCATCATGTAATTCTCCATCTGTACGGATATTAACCCTCTGCATTGCTCTCTGCAGGGTGTGCTTGCGGTTTGCGACGAGCCCCTCGTGTCGGTTGACTTCAGGTGCTCAGACGTGTCTTCCACGATCGACTCATCCTTGACCATGGTCATGGGTGACGATATGGTGAAGGTCGTCGCATGGTACGACAACGAGTGGGGCTATTCTCAGCGCGTTGTTGACCTCGCTAACCTCGTGGCTGAGAAGTGGGAGTAGAGGATCTTGTGTTTAGTCTACATATTCAATGCGGACTATGTAAGATTCAGAGCATTTTCAACGCCATTTGACTACGTATGCTCACATTCTAAAATCTGCTCACACACAAGTGGAAAGTATAATTACCCAAAGCAGCGCCTTTATTAGTGCAGCATGGTGGTATTCTGTACTGGTTACGGTATTTTGCACCTTTTTTGGGGCAGCACCTTCGACATCTGATAGTTTCAATTCCCCAATAGACTTTTGCAATGTCGGGTACTGGTTACTCTCTAATCAGCCCTCCCTTGGTCCAGAAACTGGTCTACAATTCGAACATAAAGTCAAATGTTGTTTATGTGTATGTGTGTTACGTGTGCAATTGAGTGAAGGAACGAGAATTGCACTATCGAAGCAAAAGTACAATGAGCGAAGGCATGAGCAAAGGATTATATAGCGAAACAATAGTGGTAACGGTAATGGACTGTGGTTGTCGCGCGTCGAGCCTGAGACTGAGGTTGGGAAACTGTCGAAGCGTAGGCCCGGAGCGCGGGTTACCAGCCGAGCCGTGAGGTCGGGATGCGATGTGTGCGAAAAAGGCGGGATGATGAATGATGCGATGGTCGCGAGTGGTAACGGTGCTGACTGAGGTGCTACAGTGACGTACGCGCTGGGCAGGGACGCGGAGTAAGGAAAAGGGAATTTCCTTACACTACCCCTCTCCCCAAGGAGGCCCCTCTTACGAGAGCGCATGGACGTCGCGGAAATTTCGGCTTCGCAGATACTCGGTGAAGACAGGGTGGTTCTCAATTTTATCCAGGGGGACCCAGTTGTCTTCTGTGGGCGTTCGGTCCTTCCAGCGAATTAGGAACTCGATCCTTCGGGCTCCCCGAGGGTCGCGGACGCGGTGGCTGAGGATTTTTTCAGGGGTGATGAGTGGTTCGGTTGGGGGACGTGTCATGCTGGCTGGGCGATTTCGTGGCAGTTGGCTCGTGGATGGGATGTAAGGGCGAAGTAGGCTGACGTGGAATGACGGGCTGACGTACCAGTCAGCGGGGAGGAGGAGGTGGGCGGTGACGGGTGTGATCATGTGGCTGATGCGAAATGGCCCACAATATCGGGGGCGAAGTTTTGGAGTGATGGGCAGGCGAAGGTTCTGAGTGTCGAGTAAAACGAGGTCGTCGGGCTGATAAGTAACGGGTCTGCGATGTCGATCGGCGTTGCGTTTAGCGATGATGTTTGATTTTTTTATTGCTTCTGCTGCCCTGGTCCGTGCTGCCTGCAGAATCTCGGCGAACTGTTGTGCTCGTGGGACGGGGTTGTCGGGATTCGGTGTCATGGGTACTGTTGGGTCCTGTCCGTAATTTAGATAAAACGGCGACTGTTGCGTCGTGGCTGATGGTGCGTTATTGTATGCGAACTCAATGAGTGGCAGTTGCTGTTCCCACGTATTCGGGTCGTCGCACGTGGCTCGAATCAGCTGCTCCATGGTCTGATTTGTCCGTTCCGTCTGTCCGTCGGTTTCGGGGTGATAGGATGAACTGAACTGTAAGCGCGTGCCGAACTGCTGCCATAGGTTCCGCCAGAAGTTGCTGGTGAATTTTGTGTCCCTGTCGCTGATGATCGACGCGGGTATCCCGTGCAGGCGTACGACGGTGGAGATGAATAGTCGGGCGGTTTCCTCGGCTGTGATGGATTTCCTGCATGCTGCGAAATGAGCCTTTTCGTTAGTCGATCGACGACGACCAGGATCGCGTCATTCCCACTCGCCCCAGCTGGTAACCCCGTGACGAAGTCCATCGTCACCTGCTGCCAAGCACGCTCTGGAGGCGGGATGGGTTGTAATTGCCCTGCTGGTCGCTTCCTGCTTGTCTTCATGAGCTGGCAAGTGGGACACGATGCCACGTGTCGTTGCACGTCAGTCAACATTTCTGGCCAGTAGTAGTACCCGCTGCAGCTGCTGCCGTGTTTTTTCTACCCCGAAATGTCCCGAGGTAACTCCGTCGTGTGCTTCCTGTAACAGTAGTTCCCGAAGTAACGTGTATCCCGGTACCAGATGCGGTCGGTTCCAGTTTTTACGTAATAGACTCCTTTTGCCGCTGCGAATTGCTGTGAGTTGCCTCCTGTAAAGAACGGGTCTGTTTGATATCCGTGGGTAAATAGGCCGGTAAGCAGTGGGCTGGTCTGGGCGAGTATATCGTATCGCATGGATCTGGGCAGTGGGGGCGGGTCAGTGCGTCGGCGATATTCGATGCTCCCTTTTTGTATGTGACCGTATAGTGAAAATTCGACTCGAGGAAATCGAGCCATCGAATCTGTCGTGGGTTGAGGTGGGGCTGTGCGCGGAGGTACTGTAGAGATCGGTGGTCTGTCCGTACTGTCACGTCTGCGCCAGTCAAGTAGCAGCGCCAAACTTTGAATGCATGCACGATCGCGAGCATTTCGCGGTCGTGTATCGGATAATTTCGCTCAGGCGGATGTAGTTTTCGTGATTCGTAGGCGATGGGTTGGGGGCCGTTGCCGAAGTCCTGTAACAGTACAGCTCCGATGGCGATGTCACTTGCGTCGGTAACCACTTCGAAAGGGCGGTGGGGATCAGCGATGCGTAGGACGGGTGGTGAGCAGAGAACGTTTTTTAGGGCAGAGAAGGCAGCATGCTCTTTCTCCCCCCACGTAAAAGCGACCCCCTTACGCAGTAAATCAGTTAGCGGGGCGGTTAAACGTGCCATGTCGGGCACGAACCGTCGAACGTAATTAACAAACCCTAAAAAACTCTGCAGTTCCGTGATGTTCGTCGGGGGGCGCCACGCTTTTACCGTGTCCAGCTTCTTTGGGTCAATCTCAACCCCAGCCTCTGAAATGACGTGACCTAAAAACTCTAGCCTATCCCTAAAAAACTCGCACTTGGAGCCCTTGGTGAGCAGCCGATGTTCCTCTAAAACCTTAAAAACTGCTTCAAGATCTGCTAAGTGTTGCTGCTTATCCCGACTGTAAACGAGGATATCGTCTAGGTAAACGATGACGCATTTATCTAAAAGTGGCCTAAAGGCCTCGTTCATGGTCATCTGAAAAGTCGCAGGCGCGTTCGTCAACCCGAAAGGCATTACTGTATACTCGAATGACCCGTACCTAGTCCTAAATGCTGTTTTTGCGCAGTCCGATGGTTCGACCCGAATCTCTGATGGTAACCTCCCCGTAAATCTATTTTCGAAAAGACACGTGCTGTTCGCAGTTGGTCAATGAGTTCGTCGGCGCGGGGGATGGGGTATCGCGATTTGACTGTTACTCGGTTAAGCGCTCGGTAGTCGATGCACATGCGAAAACCTCCGTCTTTTTTCGGTGTGAACAGTATGGGTGCGGCGAACGGTGACGAGCTCGGTCGAATAAACTGCTTCTCTAATAGGTAATCTAACTGCTTCCTTAACTCGTCGAGCTCGGGCTGTGTCAGTCGAAATTGCCGCTGTACCGTTGGCTGTGCCCCCGGTTCTAGCTCGATCCTATGGTCGTGCGCTCGCTGAGGTGGCAGTCCCTGTGGTAAATCATCCGGAAATATCCCCGGAACCGTTTCAGTAGTGCTTGTAATTCGGTCGGTACGGCTGCTAGTAGTTTCTGTAAATCGTTCTGCTGCTCGTCTTTTTCTACCACTGCGATATCCACTGCGTACACGTCAGCTCCAGCAGCGACCGCCCGTTTCATCGCGATGGCGTTGACCTGGACTGTCGAAGATTCGGGTGGCCGCCAGCGAGGTAGGACCCAGTTACCGCTACTTTCGCACTGTGCAGCTCCCCGTCGTCCAGTCGATCCGTGGGTTGTACCGTCGCAGCCAATCACGTCCCAGTAAAATGTCGTGCCCATCCAGTGTCGTTGCGAGCATTTCCTGTGTAAACCCGAAGTTTCCCCCGCAGCGGACTTTTACTCGCTCCACTTTTTCTCGTATGGCCAAAGGCGTGCCGTCGACTAAGCGTGCATCTATCTCAGGTAAACATCGTTAAGTGTTAACTGTAATTTCCGTGCGGTTGCAGTATTAACTAAGCTGTGACTTGCTCCTCCGTCAATGAAGATTTTCACTGCTGCTCCCTGTATTTTCCCGTAGATCAGTACCGGGCAATCCGTCGCTGTACCCTCCTTATTCATCCGAGCCCGATCGATGGCGTGAATCGGTACTGTGACTCGGTGAGGGTCGGTGTGGTTGGGCGAGCAGGCAGTCTCGTCAGTAGTTGGCCCAACTTCTACTGACTGCTGGCGTTTCCCTGCCTCTGAGACTCCTTCCCCTGCTCTGCTCCTCGACGCCTCAGCTCCTCTGGACATTCGCTCTTGCGATGGCCCGGCCGGTTGCAAGCAAAGCAGCGCCCTCTAAATGGCGTGGCAGCTGCATTCGTTGCGACGGCATGTACAGTGGCGTGCTCGATCGGTCCCCGAGGGCGATGTCCGAAATAGGACCCCGGTCTCGGTCGGCGTAGGATATCGATTTTCTCGGCGAGCGCGAGGATTTCGTTGAAATTCGATAGCCCGCGTAGCATTATCTCGTGCGATATGTCCGGCTTCAGCCCTCCGACGTAACGGTCCACCCGCTCCGCCTCGTGCATGTAGCCGACCTGTTCGCAAAGTGCGAGAAAACCGCTGGTGTAGTCTTGAACCGACCCGAGCTGGCGCCAAGTGCGCAGTTTCTGACGCGCCGAAATCGAAGCCGCGATCGCTCAAAACGCGCCCGAAGCCCTGCGCACCACGCATCCCACGTGCTGTATTGGGCTGTTTCGCAGAACGAAATCCAGGTGACAGCTGGACCTGAGGGCCCTTCCTCGTGCGACGGTGGCTCGTAGGCGCGTGGCGACGTCACGATGACTCGCCACCAGTCCATGGCGGGGCCCCTGAGTAGTGAAACCGCATACCGAATCTTGGCGGCGTCCGACTCGACGTAGTTGGCGTCGAAAAACACATTCATCGTGAAGACCCACGATTGAACTGTCGGGCCGCCGCGTTGGCTTGGGTCGAAGCAGGGCGGGCGTTGCGGCTTGAGTGGCATT